CCGTGCAATTCATAGCTGGTCCTTGGGAGCCGAGTATAATCTTCCCTGCCTTGGCTTCCCAGAGCTCTGCTGTGGCAGGTGGGTTGGGTTTTTTCCCCTCCAGCCTTTTATTCTAAGTAAATCAACCATTGTGTAGAGGGGAGGAAGGAAACATTCCGGGATCCCTGCGGAAATGAGTTGCACACAGCTGATCTTCTGCAGGGAAAACTGATAAAAAGGCTTTTAAAGGAATTCTCACTCAAAGCCGTCAGGAGAGGGAGGGGGATTTGCAGGCAGCCAGGCTGGGAGTGGAGTGGGAAGAGCCTCCCTGGCCCAGGGACCACCCTGGAGCCCTTCGCCTGGGCTGGCCCCGCTACACCGGGGTGAGTCCAACTGCTCCCCATGGTGCGCAGCACGGGCACATACGTCATCAATGGAGCTGCCAGCCTGGCAGCATCCCTGGCCTCTGCCAACCCTTCCCAGGGCAGCGAGGCAGCAACAAGCCCCTCTGCCCGTGGAACAGCCAGGGCAGAGCCTTTTCTGCTGGGGCTGCTCGGTGCCAGGGGGCACAGGTGGCCGGGAGCTGCTCTCGCCTCCCCCAGGGTGGCTGTGCCCTGGCCTGGCTGGCTCTGCCCGTCGCAGGGGCGCCGAGTGGGAGCACCCGGGCTGGCTGTGTCTCTGCCCATCCGTGCTGGGCTTCTTTAGTCTGCTCCGCAAGCGAGGGGCGTGAGGAAGACCATTGTGCTCCTCTTCCATGCTGCCTCCCGGCTGGAAGCGGTGCCGCTGCCACCCAGGCATCCTGTGCCACTTGCCCAGTCCACCCATCCCTGCCCGCAGACCCCAGTATCTGGTGTTTGAGGCTCAGACCTCTGACCGTGAGGTTCAGATGGACCTTTCACTTTCCCATGTACCCAGCGGCCGCTGCACAGCCCCAGACACCATTCCCAGCTCCAGACACTGCTCCGAGCTGCGGGAGCCACAGGGACAGGAGGGATGCTTCTTCCTACAGAGCCTGGAAACCCTCCGCCAGCCTCTGAGAAGGCTGTGCAAATTAACCCGTGCTGCTCGGTGTCTTAATTCCTGTTGGATTTCCTTGCCATCAGTGGCTGAACAGCGGTTGTTTTGGGGGACGGCGTGGCATTGTCCCTGCCCGCCGAGTACACGAGCGTGGGGGTGATTTTCTTTTGTGTGCCGTTTTATCAGTTGGGTGCAGGCGTGAACCCATCGACGTGCATTTCATTATTCAGGGAGAAAGGAGCCCGTGAATGTAAATGGTACGTTAGACACCCGTTAGGTTACAGTGGAGACGCGTCCTCCCCACCAACGTGCTTTTTTATTGTATTTATACAGCTAGCAACGCATTGTACGTGTCTGAAATCATAAATTTTGCCCAAAAGCTTCTTTTAAAAGAAGTGGCTCGATGCTTTTAATCAGAGCAGAGTCCTTATCTCGGCCATGCAGCATGGTGGTGCCTTAGCAGAGCGATACCTCGGCCTGAGTACGTTGGTGTGCAGAGCAACCTGGCGGGAGGAGGAAAGCCAAAATCACCACCTCTGTGGCGGCCCCAGCCCTGGGATGAATGTCTCCTGGGGAGGTGGCTGCACTGGAAATGTGTCCGGGCTGACCCCTCCACCCGTCCTCCCCGCATCCGTGCGGCCGCAGCACCGACACGGCTGTCCCCATCTCCCCCTCCCCAGAACCAGGCGGAAGCCCACTACAAGGGCCACAAGCACGCGCGGAGGCTGAAAGCCATCGAGGCCATGA